GTACAGCCAACAAGTTTAGGTATATAGTTTGTTATTTTTAAAAAATTATCATTCACTTCTAAATATTTCAGAATTTGTTATGATTTTTTCTTTAGCCTATTAATTACTTAGAAATATGTTTTTTCTTTTCTAAATTGTTCAAGCCAAACTTCCTGGTTGCAAACAACAAAAACAAACTCTTGCTAGCTTAAGTATAAAAGGAATATACCAGAATAACTGGGAAGCCTGGAGAATCAGGCTCAGAAAATGGCTGGAATCAAGAAATAAAAGCCATAGCCACACTCATATGACAGGAGTAGCCAGAGTAGGACAAGTTGCTGGTGTTTCTCCACTGGACATTCACTGCTACCACATGACCTCTACCTGTGGACAGTCACTATTGATGCTGAAATGTCACCTTTGCTTTCGTCCTAATGTCTTTCTTTTACAACATCCTTTTAGTTAATCATTTATTTTTTTTAACGATTTGTTGAAATGTTCAGTCAAGTTTTTTTAAAAACGTCTCAATATGGAAAATATTAAACAAAAGGAAAAGGAGGGAGAATATTATAATGAAATTCAATGTGATGATCACCTCAGTTTCAGCAAATCAGCATTTTCTGGCAAATTTTTCAAAAAAAATTCTGGAGGGATTTTGTTACATGTTAAGTATTAACTTAGTAGAAATTGATATTTTTAAATCTTTAAGTCTTCTCATGAATGAATAGTATGTCTCTCTTTATTTATTCAAATCTCTCTAATGTCTCCAAAATAATTAGACATGCGTGTGTGCACACATGTATACAGATGTATGTATATCATTATGATTATCCCTGATTTCCATATTTTAATGCTCTTGTTGCTATCATGAATGAGATCACCCCCAATATATCTCTAAGTGGTTATTAATATTATGTAGGAAAGCTGTTGATTTTTTTAATGTTTCACATATATCCAGTGACTCTAGTAAGTTCTCATTAATTCTAAGTATTTTGTAGTTTTGTCTTGTATTACCTAGAAACATAATCACATTTTTTCTGCAGATAATCATAATTTTACCTCTTCTTTTTCAGGAGGTACATTTTTTCTTCCATTGTATCCATGTGGCTAAACCTCTGAAGAAAAATGTACTGTCCCCATGACTGGGCTCCCTTTACATTTATGACCACAATTGACTCTTAATGCCTGGCATTATTTTTCATTATTACATTCGCTCTCTCACTTTCTTAAATGAGTATTTTACACCTTCTCTCTCAATTTTTTTGCACCAATGTCCTTACCTGAGGACATTGTTTGCCATTTCATTGAAAACATAGAAGCAATCAGTAGAAAACTTTCAGAAGCTTCTAAAAACTCTACCTACCTCCCAACATCCGTATCTATTTTTCTAGTTGCTAAAGCTACAGAGTAAAATTATCCCAAAACTTGTGGCTTAAAAGACTGAAAACATTTATTTTACTCACAAAACTACAATTTGGGCAGGGATTTGCAAGGATAGCTTTTGTCTGCTCCCCTGGCTAGAGCTAGGATGGCTTGAAGGCTAGGTCTGGAAACCCCATGAAGTCGCACTCACTCACAGGTCTAGGGTTAATGCTGGTGGTCAGCTAGGATCCTGTCTGGGACCATCAGATGGAACCCTTCCTTCTATGTTCTAGGTGATTCACATAGATTAACTCATTCAATTCTCATAACAACACTTAGGAATAGGTATAGTTTACCGAAGAGGAAAATGAGGCAGAGACAGGTAGGTAACTAGCTTGAGGGCCTACACCAAGGAGACAGATTGAGGATTTCAACTCAAGTGGTCCCATACTAGTCTATGCCCCTAATACTGGCTATGCTGAGAGATAACATTTAGGACTGCCTCTCCTGGCTTTGCCCACTGTTCTCACTAGATCTCCTTTACCCTCACTCCTAAGCACCTTAGAGAAGTAGAGCTACCTACTACTTTAACAAACAAGGTTTTTTCCCCAACAACCTCAAACTGCCTTAGTACTTCACCTTCACATATGACAGAACTCTAAAAACCTTGTTAATGGTGCTCACTCCACTGTCTGAACTTCCTAGCCTACTTGCAGAGAGCTGGTAAACCCAGTACAATCTGATGCATGGACTTCAAAGGAGAGAAGATGGTGATTCTCAAAGTAAAAGCTGGCTTGTTCCTTCCATTCTTGGTTTTCAAGGCTACCAAGACGTCTGTTGGCAAATACCTCTGCCTGGCAATAAGCTACTGTTTAGCAGAGACCAATAAATTTGTCAGCGATGCCCATGCAGACCTTGGGGCTTGTTTATAAATGGGTTAACTGATGGCTGTCTTGTTGAGTGTGGCAAAGGGCCAATCTTTTTTCTGTAATATGTGCAGTAGGGAGTGTGGGGCCTCCTGTTGGCAGCAACAACCATGAAGTCAGAGACACCCTCCCCCCCCCCAACCTGAAAAATTACAGGATGGGAGAGGAAGAAAATAGGGAGATGATTCCATTTCTTAAAATGGTTTTATGACTTAAATTCCCTAGTCCCAACATTTATAACTTATTTAAATCAATTTCTATCAAATGGAGACCATTATGTAACAAGTTCAGAAACTAAGTGTGCTTTCTTCTGAAATTTCAAACACAGACACACTATATTTAAATAAAGTTTCCACAGCATTATTTCTTGGGGGTTTGCTTTTATTGCTTTTGAAGATGCAGAATCATCTTGTATACAAAGATGCATAACTTCATTGAAGCTGAATTTTCCATGGAAATTATTCAGTGCTCCCTCAATTCCCCCCACTTTATCTGACAGTCTTTCTTCCTCCAGATAATGGCTGGCAGCAACCCACAGCATGGAGGTTATATGCTGCACTTTTGAAAAAGTCTTGAATGGAGCCATTGTTCCCCTGAGATGGTCTGCATGTTTCACTGAACAGAGAGCAGGGTGTAAAAAAGGCACCTTGTGTGCAACTGTTGGCGAGGTTGGGAAGTGAATTAAAATCTCCAGAAAGTCTGGGCAGTGCTGTTCAGAGGAGCAATGAACCCTCTGGAAGCACTGTTAGCTCAGACATTCCAATGTGGTGAGGCAGCCTCAGGGACAGGGCTCCCTCCAGTCTCATTTAGAGAGGGAGCGAGGGGGCGAGCAAAGGACATTGATTTGGACGTGCCCTCTTTGCAAAGATTTGAGGAAGGTGCTATTTCCCAGGCATGGATGGGATGGTTGATTATCACACTCAGGTAACCTTCCCATTCAGTGGACCTAGATTTGCCTTGGTTACTAACAGTGCAATGACTCATTTGGAGGATTCAATGTTAACTGCTTGTGCATCCACCAGTTTGTAGCAATGTAATTCCCATGTGCCTTTTTTTTTTTTTTTAAAGACAACGCAAGTCTTTGGGGGCTCCAGGTGACTGATGATATTTGACATTATGAGATTCATTAATCTTTTTAAATTTAATTTATTTAATTATTTAATTAATTCATTAATCTTGCTTACTGTCAGCAGTGGTTCGTTTTTTCCTGGCTCCTCCATTCACCTGTCCAGCGTGGACTCAGGGATTGCAGTGACTGACCACTCCCTATTGCTCTAGTGCTGAGATCTCAAGCGCTTACTGAACAAAGAGTTTCCTCAGTGTCCTCTGCAGAGACCTTTCCAAAACCAGCTCTCAAGGGAGGCAGTGATGTTAATTTTCATTAAAATCCTAGTGGTGAGAAAATAGCAAAAAAACAAACAAACAAACAAAAAAAAAAAACAGTTAAGGACCAGGCTGGCAGATTTTTCTTACAGGCAGAAATTCTTTGGTTCCTCTGGTGCATTACTTGCTCCAACCTCTCCTGTGCCCTGGAGGCTCAAAGTAGGGGAAGTCACTTTTAAGATCAACCTGAAAAAAAAAAAAAAAAAAAAAAAAAAAAACTCAAGCAGGAGGAAAGTGTGGGAGGAGGTGGGGATGTTCTTAGTTAGAGGCTCAGCCCAAACACACGTATAGGGTTGGAGTGGGAGACATACGCTGGGTGGTCCATATTAACCAGGATGAGGCGGGTTCCTACAGTCGTGGGGAGTTAGTTTGGAAGGCAGTGGGGAGCCTCTGAAGGTTTCTGCACAGATTAAAGTTGTAGAAGAGGGAAAACCCTATGACTGTGGATCCAAGAAGAGGACAGAGGAGAGGGGTGACGGGCCTCAGGAATTAATCCCGATTGAAGGTACCAGATGTCAGACCTACGGAAAGGTCATGTGTCTATCCAAGTAGGTAAAGAAGAACAGGCTTAGGGGAGAGGGGAAGGGATGATAATTTGACTTTTCTTCAGGTCCCCGGATCTCCTGACTGTCGACAGGCAGTCGAACCACCCGGCGCCTAGGGGAGACTCTGCAGGGCCTGTAGCGTCGGCGGTGGGCGAACAAGCATCCCGGTGTTTGCTTCAGCAATGACAGAGCACTGGGTTTGGAGTCCGCGGCCCTGCGGCGAGAGGAGCACTTGGCACCGCACGGCGCTCAGTACAGCTTGTTGAGTTAACGCCTGACCCAACGGGTCCGAAAGTCAGCGCGGCCTTTTCCCAGGGTGACGGCGGGCAAGCGATCCGTCCGCCACGAGCCTCCGTTTCCAGCGGTGCCAGGCAGGGGCGCTCCGCGGGGAGGAGGCGTGGGCCGAAGTCCCCGCGGCCCGAGGGGCCCAGGGTGCCGCCTCCCCGGGGCCCGCTCCCGCCGCCCGCTCCCGCTGGGGCAGAGGCCGAGCGGGGGGCGCGCGGCGGGCCCGGGGCGCGGGCGGCAGCGGGGTCCGCCCCTCGCCCCCGCCTGCTCCGCGCGGCCCGAGCCGGGGGCGGGCCCGCCTCAGGCCGCTCCCCCCGCCGCCCGGGGGCCCGCGGCGGCGCTCTCGGCCTCTCACCCGGGCGGGCGAGTTCTGGGAAAGGCCTGCCCAGGGCGGGGGCCCCGCTGCCGCCCGCGCCGTCCCGTACCCGCAGCGCGGGCGGAGCGAGAAAGCGGCGCCCCCGGGGCGCACAGGCTCGCGCGGCGGGCGGGGGCGGGGGCGGGGGCGGGCGGCGCGCCCCGGGCCCTGCCTCCCGGGCACTTGCCTGGCTGCGGCGCGCTGCTGGCCCCGCTCGGCCGCTGACACACGGTAGCGGGGACCCCGACGCCGCCGGCCGCCGGCCGCAGGCGCGCCCCGGACGGACGCTGCGCTTGGGGACTCCGGCGCGACGGGCCCGAAGAGGAGAGGTGAGGAGACGACTGCGTGGCGCGGGGCCCGAGGGGGGCGCAGGGGGACGTGGGCTCTTTCCGCGGTGGCAGCCGCGGGCCGGCACCTGGCGCGGGTCTCCCCCTCCCTCCCCCCCCCCCCCCCCCCCCCCGGCGGACGGAGGCCGGGCCCGGGGCGCGCAGGCCGCTCCCGCTGCGGGCCCCCTGGGTGCGGGCTTCGCTCCCGCGCGCCTCGCCGGCGTCCCCGCCGCCTTTTCTGTGGACTTGCGGAGGCGGAAAACATAAGCTCTTGGCGAGGCGGCACCTGGCAACTGTATCTCGAGGAAGGTGCCTACGGCATTGTTCCTGGAGAGACCGATCCACATCAAGTCCTGGAAAAGACCGCGTTGGACCCGGGCTCACGTTAATGACTACAAGAACGCCCCCCCGCCCCCCCGTCTTTTTTAAGGCGCTCTGGTGCTATGATAAGGAATAGCCTAGAGCCAGAAGCCCTCCGTTGTGGCTAATAGTAAATGCACAGTACAAATGTGTGGGTTCCCCGCCCCTCCCCGTGTCTAGTATTTCAGCCCCGGGACGGTTGGTGCAACAGACTCAACTAAATTGTTCCGTGTAAGAAAGATTCTACATTTAAAGATTTATCAGCGTCATTTTCCATAGTGAGCTCCCTGAATAGATGTTATGGGGCTTTCACTTCATTGAAAAGTGGTCTTTGCACACCGTCCATAATGGTGGTTGCACTTTGCAGAATTGGCTGGTAGGTCCTTTAGATTCCTGCAAGATTAGGCGCATTTCCTTGTGTTTCTTGTCGGAACCCCCGGCGGTGTAGGGTGAGGCCACTGCCACAGAGTGGGCGCCGCGGACGCCAAGAACGCTTGACCCACCAGGGAGAGTTGTTGAGAGCCTGTCTTGGGAGGTGGACGCAGGTGACCCCATGGATACCGTCACGGCGGGAGAAGGGGAGTGGAGCTATCGCTGGATACTGTATGCAGCCATGTCTTCACAGATATTTTCTAAAGAATGCCTGAAGATGCTGTCATCTAGAACATCCTTTCCATTTTCCTCTTCTTTGAATGCCCTTCCCCACCCATTTCACCACTCTAAACACTAACCATCCTTCCAGCTGAATTTTGTTGCTGCTGTGAGGCCCTCCCTGATAACCCCAGCCTCAAATAGTCGACTGTCCCCTGCTGGGATTCCTGCAGCATTTTAGGTTCCAGACCTTCCTCCATTCTCTTTCTTTGAGAGTTATTTGTGTGCAGGTCTCCTTTTCCCTACTGAAGGCATTAACTGTGGCTTTCCAAGCACAGTGTTTTTAGCCATAAGACCCTTGGAAATAATTGTGGGCTGCTAATAAAGGTTAAGACTTTGGTTCTTCAACACCAATCTTTATTTTGGAGGAGATAATATAATTGAAAGTATAACTTGTTGAAAAACATAATATTTACCATTTACAGGCCCACAGAGGAACTTTTTCTTTGTACCTAGGAGCCATGCATAATAATTATCTTTGATCCATGCTTTGGGACCAAGTGAGAGGTGAGATTGAGCTGAGGGACGTTCTTCCAGTCCTTCTAGTAACATAAGCTCCTTGGATGTGCTCCAAGGTTGACCTGTGTCATTAAAAATTCCATGCTCAAGTGTGTTGTGGTGAAGCTAGATTCCAGTGAAGGTGCTTGGTTTTCTTTTTCTGTTTGCAACTGTGGTTAGTTACAGTCCCTTCTGGGCTTTTGTTGTATACTTTAAAGCATGAATTTGATGTGTAACTTGTTATACATTTCTAAATGAATAAAGGATAATTGAAAAGAGTTGTGCATGATGTTTTGTAAAGCAGAGAGCAGGGAATGTTTCCCGTGCTTGGGCAAGAGGAGATATTTGCACAGAGCAAGGCTGCTCTGCACGTGTGTGTGTTGGCATTCCCAGTCTTCCACACACCTGGCTGGCAAGCAGCCTAGGTAGGACAACAGCTGCTTCAGTCCAGACTCTGTCTCTCTCTGCCTGGGCCTACCTCTACTGGGGGTGAGTGGGGGGAGAGGAGGGGTCCCAGGGAATACAACAATTTAGAGCTTATGGATTAGAAGGAAAAGTAGGAGAAAAGCTAGAAAAAGCAGTAGCAGCTTGGTTCATCAATTTGCTTTCCTGCTGACATTTGGTCAAGATCTTGGCATTGAGCAAGTGGGAATTCAGTTGGGAAGAGGAAGGCAGGTGATGGGGAGCATGGCACTCTGGCAGAAGGGCTGGGAGGTATTAATGTGGCCCAGTTAGGAGGGGTCCCCAAAAAGGAAGTTGGAGATGGAGAAGTAGGGAGTAAACATAATATCAAAGATGTACTTTGCCGTGGGCCAACCATGGAGCCTAAAAAGGAGGAGAAAACTCTTCAGCTTTGTGTGGTCTTCTTTGCTTTCAGGTGCAGAATGCAGACTTATTTTTATTAAAGCTACAGTTCATCTGTGTTATGGCTTAAATAGGTTTTCATGGGCCAGATTGGAACCTAGCCCTCTATAGCTATGCTATCAGTATGGTAACCACAAGCCATGTATGGTTATTTGCTTTAAATTTAAATTAGAATTAAATGAAATTAATGGGCTACCTTTCAAGTGCTCAGTAGTTATGTGTGGCCAGTTGCTACCCTACTGGACGATAAAGATGTAGAACATTTCCATCATTTCAGAAACCCCATCCTAGAATATTGTTCTAAAGGACTCATGCCTTTTTTTTTTTTTTTTTTAAGATTTTACTTATTCATTTAAGAGAGAGAGTGAGAGCAGTGGGCGGGGGTTGGGGAGAGAGGAAGAAGCAGGGATCATGGCCTGAGCCGAAAGCAGACCTGTAACCGACTGAGCTACCTAGGTCCCGGGTTCATGCCTGTTAATCCCCAAGATATTGATGTCAACCCAATTCAGTCATAAATTAAAATGTTCCTGTTTATAATCCTCTAGCAAATCTATTTAGATGCAAGTAATAGTAGCAGTTGTTGGTAACGCTTTTGTAGTGTTTACTGCATGCCAGGCAGTGTTCTAAGAATTCTACATCTATTAACTCATTTCATTCTAACATGAGGCAGCAAGTGCCAGAGACCTGTTGTCCGTTACCTGCAATTCCAAAATCAAAACAAGCTCTGAAAACTGGTTTTCTTTCCTTTTTTTTTTTATGATAGTCACGGGGAGAGAGAGAGAGAGAGAGGCAGAGACACAGGCAGAGGGAGAAGCAGGCTCCATGCACCGGGAGCCCGATGTGGGATTCAATCCTTGTTCTCCAGGATCGGTTCTCCAGGATCGCGTCCTGGGCCAAAGGCAGGCGCTAAACTGCTGCGCCACCCAGGGATCCCTGAAAACTGGTTTTCTTAAGTTTGGCTACAAAACTTAATCTGAGTTGACATGAGATTATTATAGTCTTTATTTTTCTGACCTGGTGAGAATTATTCATACATTTTTATTTCAGAAAGAATGGACATGTTTGCTGTGGATCCTATCAAGAGTGTTATGTAATATATGGTCTATGGTACTGTCTTACCATTATAAAAACCAAAAAAAAAAAAAAAAAAAAAGCCTTCTGATTTTGGATAAAGGAGTATGGGCCAACATTATCATGTCCATTTTGAAGAAAGGAAAACTGAGGAACTAAAAGGTTAAGCAACTTGTGTGGAATCATAGCAAGAAAGTGCCAGAGCCAGGAGTCTGTCGGAACAGGCTGGCTTCAGAATCCATTCCCTTGACTACTGCTATCCTGCCTCTGGTCTCATCACCCAGAACAAATGACTGGCCACTTTTTTGGCTGGGTGAAGCCAGATAGCTTTAATTCAGCTCACTAGAAAGCTTCAGGTAGAGCTCTGGCTAAATTGTTAAGCAGTTGAGATTGAAATGCTATGCATAGTTCAACTGCTGTAATAGGCACGCGTAGTGATTGTTAGCTTGCCCTTTTCTACCTCGTGCCAATCGCAATTTATTTTGAGCCATTTGCTGTATGAGAACCAATAGCAAAAGAGGCCCTCATTGTGGCATTGGTGAAGCTACTGGGCCTTTGTTGAAACCAGTGGCACATGGGGGTTTATATACTCATGATTGTTATGAGGTAGGAGGCAGGAGATGGTTTGGTCCTGGTATCTACTGACTGCTGAGCACTGATGAGGTCATTCTGGGGCTTGCAGGGGTTCTGAGACTTCCTGGGATGGTTTCAGAGGATCTGGATCCATCTGACTCATTTGGAAGTCTCTCCAGGAAGAGACTAAGTTCCTCTCTTCTTTTTGGAGGTTGACTAGAACTGCAGACCTGGCCTGGGGTCGGGAATGGACTTTTCACTTTTCCTCCCCAAGTGGTGGCAGGAATAGGTGGTCCTTTCTTGACAACATTTGAAGAAATTCTTTTTATTTTAAAATTTTTATTTATTCATTTGAAGAGGACAACAGAGAGCGTGTCCAGGGTGAGGGATAGAGGGAGAAAGATAAGCAGCTCAGCAGGGAACTAGATGTGGGGCCCCATCCCAGAACCCTGAGATCATGACTGAGCTGAGATTAAGAGTGGGACACTTATTTTTTTTTAAATTTTTTTAAATTTTTATTTATTTATGATAGTCACACACAGAGAGAGAGAGAGGCAGAGACACAGGCAGAGGGAGAAGCAGGCTCCATGCACCAGGAGCCTGATGTGGGATTCGATCCCGGGTCTCCAGGATCGGGCCCTGGGCCAAAGGCAGGCGCCAAACCGCTGCGCCACCCAGGGATCCCCAAGAGTGGGACACTTAAAGACTGAGTCACTCAGGCACCCACATTTGAAGAAATTCTTAATTACCCCCAACGTTCTCCTTTGAGTATAAGAAAATGTTCTGAGTGTTCCACTGTCTGTGTGGATCTTTTAGTATGGGCTCCACAGAACCTCTGTCTGTGTCCAGGGAGCATTTTGCCTTTTATAGCGCAGTCACCAAGGTCCCTAATAGTCATGGTACAACCCCCCCCCCCCCCCCCCCGCCTCAAGTTATAATGACTTAAGCTGTAGGGACACAGCACTCGATTGGTGAAATACAAAGAC